CTGAGCACAAAGCAGTAGCCTTCAGAGTTATAAAAGATAGGGCTTGCCAGATAATCTCCTTTTGAGGAACTCTTTAAAATGGAAGTGAAGTTTCTTATCTGCCAAACACTGGTAGGACATTGCGTTTCAGTCAGAGTGATATCATCAAGGTGAATTCCTCCTTTGGAATTCTGTGGGTCTCCTTTAAGGCCATGAAAAACATAGCGGAATTTGGTCCGGGTGTTGAAAGGTATGTTTGCAAAGTTCCACTGCTTCTCTCCATCACCTGAAAGGGGAGAGGGAGAAATCTAATATTTGATTCATTTACATATTCAACCCATTTTATGCCGCTTTCCCTGCGAGGATCTGAAAGCTATATTTAGCAGGCGCTAAGTGAGGAAGATATGAGGACGAAATTACTTCTTTTGAAAGAAGATTGGCTTGTGCTCATTCTTTAGATTTAATCTTTTTGATCTCATATATGAAAGACTAACCTGACATGTATTTTAACAGAGCAGGATTTCTCAACTTTGGTAGCTGTCAGTTATGTGGATTTCAATCCAGGGGTGTGATTCTACCAGTCCGGACCGGTTGTAATGATTCTGCACAGTTTGGAGAACCGGCAAATCATGCCCATGGCTAGCCATACCTCTCTCCGCCCGGCCCTCCCCTCCCCACCCAGTCATGTACGACATCACGCCCATGTCCAACATCGCTGACTGCATTCTTTCCGGTCCAGTCACTCCTTAAGATATGATCAGCTGTGCCGGGATCCCCCTCATTGTCTTACTGCTTCACTTAGGAGGCTTCTCTGAGGCCCAGGAGGCCCAGAGCGAGCACCCCCTGCGCTCCGTATTTTGCCTTCCTAAGCCCCAGGGAAGCTTCCTGGAAGCAAAAATGCCCCCCCCCCGGGGGGCCGGGGGGAAAAAAAGGGGGGGGGGGGGGTGCTGAAAAAAAAAAAAGAGAAGTCACGCCCACCCAGCTACATGGCCATGCCCATCTAGCCACACTTTCAGAACCGGTTGTTAAAAAATTTGAATCTTACCCCTGCTTCAATCCCAGAATTGGAGTGGCTCTCTGACTGGGGAATTCTGGGAACTGAATTCTACACATCTTAAAAGTCCACACACCCATACACACCCACAGCCTTAACAGAATCCCCGAAAGGGAGAGCTGTGTGGCTTGGTCTGCCTCAGGAGATAGCTTCTGAGTTAGTTAGCTGGACGAGGGGGAAGGCTTCTCCCTTGTCTTAAAATGTGGAAGCTCACAGATGCTGCACCAATAGGCTTTCAGCGTGGCATGAAAGGAGAAACCAGGGCGATTCTTATTCCCTCTATACAAAAGGCCGCAAAGTTTTTCTGGGTTTATTACACACCCCAATTAGGTATTGGATATGAGAAGGCAAAGATATCTGATGCTCTCTTTAGGAGATAAAGTATAATCCTGCATGCCTCATTGTAATTAAATCCTCGAGGGTTACTTGAGAACTCACCATGGATGCTCTTCACTTTTATTGACTTCCTAATGTTTCCAGTACCATCATCAGTTTTAAGCCACACAATCAGCTCATCTTTTGGACTGCCATCAAATTTGTAAAAGAATTGTAGACACTTCTCATTTCTTCTTGGATAAAGAATGCGGGACTCCAAAATGGCTGTTTCACCTGAAAGGCCTTTGGTGGTATCGAAGCTCATAACGTATCCTTTCTCTGTAAAGTAGATGAAGATGATTTAATGTCCTATGAAGCATGATTCACTTGGGACAATTGTTTCAGGATTTCACTGGGCTTAAACTGAGGTAATCATGAAAATGTGCTACTGTAATCTTATAATAAAAGTAATATTAGCATTCATAACTGGTTTTCTAGCCCTGTCTACTTCAAAGGGCTGGCATCTATTTTGCAGGTCTGAATATGCTTCCCTCTCCTTCCCTCTTCCCATTATCTTTCTGAAATCTGGGAAGTGTCAATTCTGAGACACTTTCTCAAATTACTTTTGTGCCACAGACCAGATTTCTTTTGTTTGACTATTGCCTTGGTTGTGGGTCTTGCTCCTGATCTTCAAGGTTTTTCCTTCCGCCCACAGCATATAATCTGTTAATGCCCATATCTTTGTAAGAGGAAAATATATAAAGGAGATTTTCATTGCGGATTATTTTTTCACATATTGACACTTTGGATATAATTTAATGTTTTTAATTCTCTTTTTTTCATATGCTATATCTTTGATTACTAAATGATTTCCAGTTGTACAGCCATTTTCTCGTCCATTTAAATTACACATTTGTATGTTACCTAAGCAGTGGTTGTTGTTATCCCTGGTTGTAGTCAAGGTATGTTCCCAGTCCTTGTCGTCTTTTCCATTTTGCACCATGCCACAGATATTGATGGACTCAAATGAACATTGGTCAAGGATAGTAAGACTGGAAGCTGCAGGAAATACCCCCACACACATTTCAGATTAAAGTAATCTAAATAGAAATTAGACAGGTCTCTTCCTAAATTAATGACAGGTGCTGCTCTCTTCCCAAATTAATGTTGTG